TCTTAAACTTTCGGAAGTACCCCGAGCCAAAAATAGAAAATCTTCTGGGTTATCGAGTGTGCTGAATACGAAAAACCACTTTTCAGCAACTCTAAACCAACTTTATTTTTTTTGTTCCGGTGATATGATTTCTGACGCTCTTGATAGTTGACGTATGCACTGTCTATCCTGACGTAAAGAAGAGGAAAACGGAAGGAAAAATTCTTTTAATTATACAGTGGAAGAAAAGATAAAAAGAAATCGTCATGTTTCGTGCATGCCTGCCTATTCGTATAGTAGATATACATATATACAGATAATACAGTGTGTGTAGTATAAACCTAAAATCCTGATATACAGTTCTGACATGTACACAAGTAATCTGAGTCATTCAAGAAGTGTATAGAAAATATCGACTTCTTGAATTATTTCGTGCGAAAACAGTAAGTGCAAAATAAGCAAAGCAACTACTTGGATTGACAGCACAACTTTATTGAAATACATTTTCTACATACATGGAAACCTGTTACAATAGATGCACGGTAAAATATTTCCTACGAAGGTCAAAAAGATTCAACTAATTTATTTCAAGTATATGCAGACATTTCTCAAATGTAGGAATAATAATCATTTTGCTCGAAAGAATTCTAATATATCAAGTAATGTTCTTTGTACATGTCATGCAGACAGAAATGAGAAATATTTGTTGCTTTTTATTATTAGTTATTATCTAATATATACAGAAACTATTTTCTCGTTTTTTTCTCTTATTGCCACAGTACATTTTAGTAGAATAAGTCATTTATATCTGCAACTAGCTCAAGTAAGAAAAATTATGCACATTTCTATGGATCATTCAAACGAATCCATTTTTTACAGAAATGCCCATATCAAACTTCGGACCGCCAAAGCACGTTCATTCGGCTACAATTAAAAATACAACTGATGCTCCCGTGCAATGTATAATATGGTATTGCGGGGAAAATGCACACCACGAAGCTGAAAGAATCAATGTCACAATTGCAGCTCAGAACGAATTTTATGCCGAAACTCGAGCATATGCAAATGCACATATGATTACCGATAAAGTTATTCACAAGATTATAGTAACAAAATCAGATGGGAAAAAGTTAGAATTACAACGTCCGTTTGAAGGAGTGGCTGGTACAATGAAAGATGGTATAGTAGGTGCAATGAAAGGTTGGGAGTTTTATATTGAAGAAAATGGTATTAAATCGCATAATCCATACAGTTAGATAATGTTTACCGATGGAAATGACTTGTTTTTAAATGTTTTTAATGCAATAAATTTTGTAAAGCATAGCCTGCTCTTTGGATGAAAGCATCACTTAATTAACCTAAACACTTACTAACAAGCAGGGTTCATCTGCTTAAATTATACTAATCCAATTCTTGAGACGCCTTGTCTACCAAATTTCCACTGTCACCTCCTTAGTAAGTTATGCTTCTCAGTTGTTAGGATGCTGAAAATGTTGATTTGAAATCATAGATCAAATAGTGATGTAAAAATTTATCCCATAGACTTCAAAGAAACTCTGCCTAATAATTGTATATCCATATCGGTGGTGACCGTGTTATGTTTCAAATTTTCTTTCAATCGAGTACACAGAATCGGGATTCCTAAATCCAGTTGGAATGGGGCTACGTATTACTACAACATGAGTTGTACTAAGCAATAAATTCCAATATACTGTTAGAAAGGATGTGTGCTCAATGAATAGTATACTGGTCGAGTAAATTAGGGATCCGTAGCTGAAATCTGTTTAGTTCAAGCATTGGTTAAGGGTATGCATAAGTTACAACAGGGAAACAGTGAATTTTGGGATTTTAACGCTTTTCGTCAATTTTCACCAAATGAAAAGTCACCGGAAATGACTGGAAATCACAGAGGAGCACTGAGAATCACTGAAAATCAATTGATTTTGCGTGATTTTCGACTGATTTCAATCAGCTGTTTCCCCCTTGATAAGTTATCGCCATGTGCACCGCAAATACTTAAGGTTTGAAAATTCACTATTTAACAATGTATTAATTGTCATCAAATAGCGTTAAGAATATTTACTGAGGAAATCGGTAGTTCGACCAAAAAGTGAGTAAACTCAAATGATACACATTAGACCAAAGACATAGTTGAGGAACATAGAAGAAGATGTTGGACCATTTCAGTACGATGATGGGATACTTTACTAAACGAAAGTACATCGTCTTCTAGGTGCAGCTTGTTGAAATTCATAATGTTAGTGAATAACGAATGGTTTAGAGTTTTGAAATGCTCATGTATTATGTCTACTTTTGATTTATACGCTCATCCTCTTCGCAAACATTGTTGCTGAAAACTGAAAGTTGCTAGCTCATTTCTGTCACAAGTTATTAGAAAAACATCCTAGTGTATTTTATTCTAAAATAGATAGTAGAAGTAGGGATGTTAATTTAGTGTTACTTTGGAAAATAAATGTAAATGAATCATTTATACTTAAAAAATAAAGATAAATTTGTCATTTATATTTATTTCATACGAGTAAATGAATCATTTATATTTATCCGTTATTATAAATGAACAATAAAACTAAATTAACACCCCTAAGTAGAAGGTCCATGTTGGTGTTTTTCCAGATTTTTGCAGAAATGTGCGTTTTTCGGTACTGTTTTGACCATACTAACGCAACGCCAAAAAAAATGCATGGTTCTTACATGGGTTTTCTTACGTTGTATTTTTTCATGCGAAAAAACGATAGTCGTTTGTCTTTTATCATGAAATCATTTTTTTGCGTTATACTGCGTGTGTTTTTTCAATACAATTTTCACAAAAGTTTATTTTGATTGAACAATGCAAAAGTACGATGACTCATTTCGATCAGCCATCCGTAAGCTGTCATAACTAGTGTATAATTTAAAAAAGTAGAATATGTGCAGTGTTAAATTTATATTAATGGTGCTTTTCCACTGAAAATTTACTTAGAGATTTTTCTAAGTGACTCCACTCAGTTTAGAGGAAATCGATCTGCTACCCACATATCTGGAGGTGCGCCTTATCTGTGGGTGGGTTTGATGAACCTGTCCGGTGGTTGTGTGAGAAACACCCCATAAAGCTTTATTGTTGTAATTACACACAATACTATTTTATTCATCAAAAACTGTGACATGTTCTTGCGTTACTTCGCAAAACTTTTGTTTTTGCAAAAAAACGCATAACAAATTGATGCGTGTGATGTTACGTGAGACACGGAAATTTTACTACAGATTTTTGCAAACAATGTACTCGAATTTTTGCAATATTTTGCCTTAAACGTCTCACGAAATCTCGACATGGGGTATTATCAGCGAAACAAATCATTTCAACAAACGTTTTGCAGTCAAGGAGCTCAATGAAAGAACTTGGTATTCAAAGTTTAGCAGCAGATACGACATGTACATCGATTACATGCATCAGAAAGATCACACTGAAGAGATGTGTAAAACCGATCGAAGCTTTCGACTCAATCGAAATTAAAGATATGAAAATACTCAAGTGTGTGAGGAACGAAATACGTGACGGCTTTAGTATCGTACGCTGGTGAAGGTCAAAATACTACTATTTATTTTTGTTTCATTTGACAAACTGTGAACGCACCCAAATTAGTCCTAGTGATACCATATATGCTACTTCATCAGTGATTTCTTGTGCAAATAACCGCGACTACAGCAAAAAGAGATCGTTTCAATCAGCCTTTGTTTCCATTATGTCAGCTTTGATATTCTCTAATATGACTTTTAACAAAACCAAATTAGGCTTTTCCTATCAGTTCAAATAAAATGAACGTTTTGAGCAAAACTGCTAACTTAGTTACAGTTGCTCAAAACATGAATAAATTTAGATAGAGAAACAGAAGTTTTTTTTAAAAAGAAAGCTAAGTTTGCTCCTGACTTGACTTTTATAAGCGCTTAGCAGGTTCTAGATAAGCAAAACAATATGGCGAATACATGTGCAGCACAGAAGCCAATGTCCGAGCCATCAAATGATGTAAAGGCTACTTTCACTGGGAAGTCACTCAGGTATAAGTCAGAGCGCTGTATGACAACGAATTTGTTACGATTTTTGTTTATTGTAGCCAAATGATGCCGTTGAGTTTTATGAGTTCTCCTATGAAGAACTGTTGGAAACGACGTATGGATGGGAGAGATGTCAAACGAATCGTCAAAAAGCTATCGACATTCGAAAAAACATGCGCTATTTATGGGTGCCTCCCTGCCCCCCTCATTTTAGGCTTTCCGTAGAAATGCTGTGAAATAAAAACTAAAACTCACTTAGCCTTCATATTTTCAGAACTGATTGGAAACTCAATGAAGGACGTTTTCGTTTTGTTTCAAGTTTCTAACTATTGCCGATTTCTACGGAAAGTCCAAACAGAGAGGACGGGTACCCTTAATGATATCTTTAAGCACAATGGGAAACAAAATTATGAAGAGAAATACGATGTTATGCTGATGAAATTTTATTCAGTAATTGACATATTTGCATCAATTCTTGATTAACAATTGATAGAATTTGATGAACATAGTGAGCCTCAGTGTTTCTACTCGTTTTTTCAGTGAGCTATGTGTTCTTCGCGCAGCGCAGTGACTGAAATTCGAAATAAGGATCACGCTTGCGATGACAGTGGTATCGGTAAGTGTAAGATGATTAATTGTTGTTTCCTATTACCTTTTGTTTCAATTTAATCCTTTATCAATGATTATTTAACATTGATAAACACTCATGAAGATTCTGCTGACAACGATAATTTTTTGGACAATGAGGTAGGTATGTACAGGCTAATTTTTAGTTGTATAGAAATATGCATTTTTATTTTGTTCAAGATCATATGAAAAGACGTTTATTGAAGCCCAGTAGTGTCAACTTGCAAAACCTGATGCGTCAATGTATTGAAAGAGTGAGATCGCTGTTGCTTTTTCTTTCTTGTAAGGTGCCAATAATGCAAAAAGGGAGCAGACTTATTTTTTCTTTCTCACTGCTATAGTTAGATAGAAAAAAGTCCATTTTAAACTTTCTGAGGTTAGTTTTGGATGAAAAACAACCAAAATTTCCATATTTATTCCTGACCTATCATTTTGAACCTTTTCTGATTCCGCATGCAAACTGACTAAACACCCAAGCAAAAAAATTTTTTTTGGAGCTAGCTTAAGCTAGCTCAAGCTAGGTAAATGTTCCTTTTAGCTAGCTTAAGCTAGCTTCAAAAAAAATGTTTTTGCTTGAGCATCAAATTAGTATGAGATAGTCAAAAGTTGATCTATCTGTAACCTGGAAGACATGAAACTAGATGAAGTCGGCTGTGTGTCAATGACGTCTTATCGCATGTTGCTGGTTATTAGTCGTCATAGAGACATGACTATTAATAAAGTTACTGTTAGCAGATTAGAGCCATATTTTGATAATCACATAACTTATAACAACAAAATCAAGAAATATTAGTTTGAGGAGTTGTTTGGTAGCAGAAATAAGAAAGAACGCGTTGATTCATAACCACAAAAGATAACAGTGTTCTCTTCTTATTGTCCGTTTAGAAGTTGAAATTGATCATCCAATCTGTTATCGATTTAATGTTAATAACTGTAAAGGAATATTACGTGCATCAAAATTGAAATACAGAAAAATAAAAACGCAAGGCGAATAAGATCAAAGATATCTAGCAGCTGGACTATGGTGTGAAGATCAAAGAAAATCATTCATGAAAGCTATTAAAAACAAGTTTACTGAACCACAATACAATGAACGTTATGGGACAAGTGGATAATTATGCTGAAAAAGGTGGCTAGCTGAATAACCCCGGGTGATACATGTGGCTAAGAAGAGACCGAGACTCGACCAAGTTTTTGATCGTTTTGTGTAAAAATTCTTCCTTTCACTTTGTTTTCGATCTCAGTTTCTTCCTCCTGATAGAAAAAACTATGGGTCAGAAAGGATGTTATCTAAAGTGTAGAAAAAGCTTTTTCGTTCAAATAGCGACACTTACTTATGAATTGGACCAAGCATAGATGCATTCATCGAACTTTTGTGATGAAGATCAGTGATTATCTCATCTCTCCGCTCTCTATGATACTTCAATCCGAAATTAAATTCAAAGTCATGATGTCATATTTGGTACGCCTGCAGCTAATGGAAATCAGCTCAAATATTACACGTAGAGTTAACCATGTTGGAAACTGATCTTTATGAATAATAGTAACGATGGTTAATTTCAGTTTATTTGTTAAGTTG